TTTTCCCCCTTGTGTTAAAGTAGTTCAATCCACATAGGCATTTTTCTACAAAAAACTGTCAGCTAATGGAATATAAAAGGATGCAAATTCAAAAAGAAGATGGTTGATGAATAAAGAGAAAAGTCCACATCCAGGAAAAAGGTCAGATATTTACAACTGACACGTTTGACTCTGTGCACATTGGACACAACCTTTGCTCCATTCACAAAAGATACATGTAATGCTACTTTAGGTTTTGGCCAAAGCAAGGTATTTTTATGGCACTATAAATTTACTAACTACTATTTGGAATAGCTTTGGGTCAGGAGTGTGCCTATGATGGCTACAAATGCTATCAGATAATATCAGGCTACAAATGCTATCAGCTCACTAACATTTGTAACATACGATACAGAACAGTGTAGTCTAAGGGAAAAAAATGATGAAAACTAATTCAATAAAAGAATTAAGCTCTAAAGTAGTTAAATAGTACAAAATGATCATCATTATAATCTTTAGGTATGTTGTTATATCATTCCATTATCAAATAAGAATATAAGCCACAATAACCTTATTTCTACATATAGTAAGCTGTCTCAGCTCTATTCAAAAACACAATGCAAAAATACTGGCCTTATTGCACACTTAGACTTAGGCTCAATTTGAAGTGTATATGAGGATATAAAGCATTCTATAAATCACTAGAGCTTATTGGTTTGAGGACCTTTGGCTTATTCACCAACCTAAATATGATAAATATTATATGCCTTAAAGGGACGACATTATATGAATTATGAGAGATCAACAGTTGTTCAGTGCTACACACAAAAACGGTAGAGCCCAAATGTCATCCATTAAGTTATATTTCAAATATATAAACAAATAACTTAATAAATACTGCAGAGGCTTGCAATTTCATTGAAAAATATTACAAAGTATAATACATCGTTTGGCAAAATTACGTTTTATTGCATTCGTCCAAACATTGTTTTCGACATCACGCGTTTTGTGTCGTATCCTCAAGACAACTTATAAAAGTTGTCATGATCCAACTTTTTGGCTGCTTACCTGAAGTGAAGGAAGTTTTATTTTTTATTTAAGTTTTTACGAGTTGTTTGTACAGAAGATTCTCAAAGTGATATTTCAGGAGACGGTCTATTATACATTATGTTTTGTTAAGCCTAGTTTTTATGGACCCCGGGTTACAACATTAGTGCACTGCAAATGTTTCAAAATATTATTGTTATAGCAGTATCATCGTTTCCGTCCTTTAAACATGTTAGAATAATTTCTATAATCTCTGCTAAATTTGGAAGTTTCAGATTTTCTTCTACTAAAAATGTGCCATGAACTTATCGTAACTAGGCAGCAATTTTAAATTACATTTTAAAATTTTAATTGGTTTACTATTGTTGTTGTTGTTATTATTATTATTATTATTATTATTATTATTCATGCGTAACGTATGCTATAATGTGTTACTTGTAATAAGACACTGTAACATGAACACTGCAGTTGTTACCCGACCAGATGTGTTAGAAATGCGCTACAGGTAATGACAGCAAAGCATCATGAAAGCATCACTTATAGTCTATAGCCTATAGACTAATCTAATAAGAATTAAGCTGCTGGTTCTTAATAGACTGCATTTTCACTTTCCTCAGGCCTTGACAGTCACTCCAGCATGTGTGACCCATACTGACGACGTGACCGTTATTGTAAACTTTCCGTTTCAGAAGGAAATTCTTATTTCACAATATTGTCATATTTGTTCTATAAGTATAGCCTATAGGCAATATTTTACTGCCACATAAGACCAACGCACATTTGATACTGTGATATTTTACATTGCTAATGGATCTATGCGTTAGTATGTTTTGCTGTTTCATACAGGTTTGTGCATTGCGTGTACATCAAACTGTTCAGTCAGTGTGTGTGTGTGTGTGTGTGTGTTTGTGTAAGAGAGAGAAAAAGAGAGAGAGACGCATCCTACACCTCTCTTTGAATCAGTCGGAGGGGTAAAGTCTCAGCGTATATCACATTCCCGACTGGACCCGCACATTAAACCACCGAGGCATGATTCCTTTTCTCTTCCATATTTCCTTATCAGCTCCTTCACCGTTTCATTTCTTTCACATGAGAATTCAGGGACCCCCAAATTCAAGGCCGGCGCTTCAAACAACAGCACTGCGGTTTACTTTTCTTCTGTCCAAATGCTATCCCAGATCCAATTTTAGATAGACGAGGCTTCAGCAATGATGCTTTTAGGACTTTCCGAGAAAGAGAGACAATAGTTAAAATTTTTAAATGAGATCAGCGTTACACCAAACCCAATATATTGCAGTATTAAAATGTAATATGTCTCACTAAATTTGAATTGAGATAAGCATGTATTTCACTTCTGTACATAAATTAACATCTAATTACACCCACATGCTATGAACTAAACATAAAGCCCTGGATTGTCATTCATATTCAGGTCTTGTGGTTGATCATCTAGTTCAGTTTGTCATTTTGTTTATCATGTTATGTTGCCTTGTTCAATCTGTCAAAATATGAAATTATTTTAGAGAGTTCCGTGCTGACCGGACGCTGAGCTGAATTCTCATTCTCAGTAAAAAAAAAAAAAGATATGAAAGGGTTTAATTTAAGTTCAGAACTTGTTTAAATAATCTAGTAATGCAAAAGAACACACGTTTCCCGCATTCATTTTAGAAGTGCTCCTTAAAGTGTTTCCGAGAGAGAGAGACAATAGTTAAAATTTTAAAATGAGATCAGCGTTACACCAAACCCAATATATTGCAGTATTAAAATGTAATATGTCTCACTAAATTTGAATTGAGATAAGCATGTATTTCACTTCTGTAAAATAGCAATTATAGAACAACAATCATAAAATATATTGTCATTATAATATGTATTATATATTCGAAATATATTTTTATCAAAAATAATTGCTTTATAAATATTAATAATAAACAAATCTCAGGGCATGATTTCACAATATTAAAAAAAAAATCGTTTTTGTTTTCTCCCTCAGCGCGCTGAGCTGATTTTAGTTTTCAATGAAATAGGCTTAGAAAATTAGCATGGCAAGATTCAGCGCAAGATATTTATAAGCTACATATTAAACTGAATACTGCACCCACGATTTCAGGGTGACATTAGGAGACAATAATGCAAATGACCCATGGCATTCAATTAAAAGTGTCATGTCCCCTCACTTTTGTTTCACGTGTTTTATATTTGCCACTAAAGTGTTTGAGAAAGAAAGCGCCTTGTGTCCCCCTCCTCATTGAATTTTATCACTAAATGAAGCATTTTTAATTAATACAGTAATGCTATTACACCTCGGTGTGCAAATCCCATTCCCCATCCCTGCGACAATAGACAAAAGTACAGGCCAATTCCAATCCTCTGTTTGCAGCCCAAACCCAATTGTTCTGCGAGCTTGTTTCCTTTGAGTGAATCGCATTCTCCATTCACACATCTGCTTTAGTTTCAGCAACACTTGTTTTTGTAATACAGGAGGAGAACTTGTATCAACTGTGTTGAATTACAGTATTATATGAATCTTGACAAATTGGGAAAGAAATATAGACTAGCAGTTATTCTGAACGAGTTGCAACATGTTTGCTGTTCACATCAGAAATCAAATTATTTCATAGAAAAGAACAATGAAGTAAAGGCACAACGGCATTTAAAAACATTGCACATATTAGCCTATTTTTTATTTTATTTGTTTACATTAAACAAAAAAAAAAAGCCTACTGAAGTAGGCTAAAGGCAACTTTAGTTAGCAAGAATTCTACTAGTATCATTGTTCTTGTTGTTGTTGTTATTATTATTATTTAGAGCGTATTAAAAAAGATGTATAGGATAGATATTTATTTTGCGAAAGTAGATAAGAATTTACGGGCAAGTAAAATCCATTAGCAACGTCATAAATCCCATTTTACATGTAGACTTACTGAAGAAGGTGTTAATTAATTTGTTTTGAGAAACTTATAGCAGCGTTTTTCTGTCCGTAAAGTGTTGGAATGATCTAAGCGGTGGAACAGGTGGAACAAGCATAGAGCCCCTGAAGGGTGACACGTCTCATACACAACCACACATCAAAGAGTGTGATCGCCTTATTTCAGAGACATGACACACACCTTAACGCAGAAAGATTTACACTCTGAACACAGCAAGACGCGCATATTTACAGAAAAATATGACTTGACAATACACTAATGAAAGAAAGAAAGAAAGAAAGAAAGAAAGAAAGAAAGAAAAAGACGTCAACGAGCCGAATGGAAAATTGAGATGGTAATGCAAACTGGCAGCTTCTACATCTGCAGACTTCTCCAATGTGTCACAGCGCGTCTGTAGGCGAAAATCGGCACAGATTTTGAAGCACCTGACGCTTTGTTCAATTGGTTTTTATTGGGAATTGTTTTGTAATAGTAAATGACATGGTTTATACTCGTACCACCCCTTCTTCAGTCCAATTTCCATCCTATTGTGGGTCTCGGGGTAAATCACAATTCATGTTCGCCCTCAGTTTCCCTAAGCGTCCCTGTACAGTAATTGTTTTGCCATTTAATTTGGACCGGCGGTCCCTATAGAGCAGACGGGAACGCCACGCGCTGACAGAGTTCATCTCAAATCTATGCCGAAAAGCCAGATGGTTATTAGACAGCGTCCGCCGAAACGTTGGACTATTTAAGCAGTACTGATTGAGAAGATAATTATTGTAGATATCTGATCGGTGTAAGATCAATTTCAGTTTTATGTTTAGCAGTTAAGGCCTGTGCTGTTCTCTCGGCCCGACACAATTCATTATATTTTAATGCACAAATAAAACCCGCTTATGTAAGTTAATATACAGCTGGAAGAGTAAACATTATAAAACGCATGTTTGGGATCACCGTACTTAGCTACTACTGACATGCCTGTTACCTTTTGGCACGACTGTATAAGAGCATAGCAAAAAGAAGATTCATAAATAGTTTAAACAGGCAATGTAACAATGATTATGAATTTTTAAGACAGATTGTCTTTATTCAAAATGTCTTTGCTCGGCAAATGAACAAAGAATCGAGGTATCACCCTTTTAGATACATTTTCCTTTCCATTAACATGACAGGATTTAAGTTACCATCGCAGATAAAAAATACAACATGAACTGCTTCGCTTCAAACTTTATGTTCTTTCTGAAATCAAATGAACGAGTGACTATCACTGAACCACAGGAGAAAAAAAAATGTCCAACTGAAAAATATTGAAGGATAAGGGTTTTTTTCTTTTTCAATTGATATTTTAAATAGACCGTCTACTTTTAGGTGCCGGTTTGATCATTATAAACAGTATGACCCGTATAATCTATTAAACGCTGAATTTCTCACTTTGAAATCCTTAAAGTCGTATCATTTGAATTTCAGAGTGCCAAAAAAAGAATGGTAAATACAACAGGCTGTACAAGAAACATGAATCCTAACCGTTAGTTGTGCAAATCAAAGACATTCAAATAATAATAAAAATATGATGAGAACAACAATTATATTAAGTGTTCAAACAAAAGTAGCATTACTATAGCATCAAATTGTACATAATAAATAAAATTAAAGTCATCCAAATCCGGTAGCTATAATAATAAACGTTTGAACATTTACATTTCTTACAGTTCTGGGCACCTGCCTTACATCTATTCCAAGATCCAAGCTGGGATCCAAGGAACCTCTCGTAGATGGTGAAAAGTTCATGTCCACACGGCCTCAGTATAAATGTCTTGATCATTCCTCTCTTCTTATGTACATGCATTGCTGTATTCAAGTTTTCAAAAGAGGAGACTGTTTTTAGTGGTGAAGTCACATAGCAGCGGCATGTGCTGCTGAGTACGGGTCAATCCCACTCTTGGTCATACCTGGGAACAGTATGTAGGCAACAGGCGGCTGTAAACTCGATGCCGACCATGCGGTGCAGTTACACGGCACCACGTATCCAGGGTTTGTGGGCGACGGGTGGGTGTGGGTGTGTTGGCTGGGGCAACCCAGGCTCCCGAATGCGCCGTTCTGGTATCCCAGAGATGATGCGTAAGGTAAAGTGCTGGTGGCCAAAGTATGGGGCATCTCTGTCATCTTCTGGATAGCGCTGGAGCTAAACTGGCTCGGGTCGAGGAAGGAGTAAGGGACTGATGTGGGTGGCAGGAACGCACGGGCTTTTTCCGAGGATCCTAAAAGCGAGTCCGTGGCTGAGAGCGGAAGTCCTTTCAGGTGATCCGTGTCGCCCAGGTAGGGCAGAGGAAACACGTACCTGTCCTTCTTGAGGAGGTTCTTGGGCTTGCGCCTGGGTCTGTATTTGTAGTCTGGGTGTTCTTTCATGTGTTGAGCCCTCAGCCTCTTGGCCTCGTCGATGTATGGTCGCTTCTCGGATTCAGAGAGCAGCTTCCATTCGGCGCCAAGTCTTTTGCTTATTTCTGAATTGTGCATTTTGGGATTCTCTTGAGCCATTTTCCTCCTCTGGCCTCTTGACCAGACCATGAAGGCGTTCATGGGTCTCTTGATGTGATCTACCGGCTTTGACATTTTTACGGTTCCCTGTTAAAATAAGAACAAAAAGTTCTTCGACCAACCAAGAGAAAATAGTATTCACCTGTCCTGCAGACAGACACGGATCATGCCACTTCTGGAGAGCCGGAGGAGTAGGAAAACGGAGTCAATGGGGGAAAAATCCACTAATTCTTCCGTGTTTGTCGCAAAGTTGAAAGATTTCTCTTCTTCAAAACGACACTATTCGGCTGAGAGAAGAACAGTCACGCGCGCCACAAAATCCAGCGAGGCAAGCGAAGTTTCCGCGATCTGTTTGCGCGCTTTTTTTCTCGGAGGATTCTCGCCCTGTGAAGCACCTGGCTGGGAAATGAGGAGAAGCGCGTGAATGAGAGCCAAAAGCGGTGAAGTTCAAAGGCTGGGCTGGTTCGCTCTGCACGCGATCTGACATAATCGCAGGGCGTTCACGCGCCAACCTGAGCGCCCAATCAGCTCTGAGAAAGCCACATAATACCTACCAAAATATGTATATTACAACACAAACAAAGATCGGGGAGGAAAAGGAGGTGACTCTCTTCCCCAAATCCATTTAGTTGAAGGTCTACAAACACAGACCTTCAACCTTTTTGTAATAAAACCTGACATCTACCAGCGTCAATCCTTCAGAGACGACAGATGCCTGAAGAATAGACAAATTCTTATTTTAAACATCGCTGTCCTTATGCGGGCACGGTTCTACGTGTGCACTTAAAGTTAAGCTTTATTTACTTAAGGTATTTTGACAATTTATCTGACGTTTATCTTCTTTTTATTATTATTACTTATGATTCCTTTTACAACCGATTTGTTTTTATTAGTTTTTTTTTATAACATAGTACATTATGAGCGGATATGGCAAGTTTAATCATTAAAACCTCAATGCGCGAATACTGAAATGTCTAAACAAGATTAATAATGAAAAGACAAACGGTTTTAGAGATCTCTGAAAATAAGCGTGCTGTCTGAGGCAGTGGCCCCCAGGCCAATATTTCCTAAATGAGAACAATTGTCCTGAGCTCTCCTGAGACAGGCTGGGTTGGGGCTTGCACCTGTTTTGCTGCTGTAATCTCACATGTGTAGAACATGCCCATGGACACTTTCTGAATGGTAACATACCCACGCAAATTTGGCATTGTGAAAACAATGCAGTTGTTCATAGAATCATTACATGCCACAAATAATGAAACGCAAATGAAAACCTTGCGCTGGGTGATGTGTTTTGTTTTCATCTGTTAATATTTCTAATAATATAATATTAGATAGTCTGGCAGAAATTATTTATTAAATGATTCAGATTTCATGTAATTGCTTTAAACATTAGATTCATGGTCACAGTAAAGTTGCTTAATTATTTTCTGTAGAGCATATTTTACATTGCAGCTGCGGTTAATTATCCCTGTCTTTCTCATGATCTCTGTCTCCTTATACACTTCCGAATTCATTTATAATTGTCAAAATCCACCCAGATGTGTGAACAGAAGTATTAGGCAACTAATTCAAGGTAATGTTTTGTGTTAAGGTTCGCGCACCAAAACCTTTAACATGCAAATTTGAGTGTTTAAAAAAGATCAGGGTCTTAATGAGCCTGAGGCAAGGAGCTTGATATATGAGAGGCACGGGTGTAATTATTAAGTGAAATGTATAAGATATGTGATATCTCGTGGAGAGGCCTTCAAGCGTGACACGAAGAGGGATCTGTAATTTAGCACATGAACATATATTGTTTCTATCGTATTACACGATACAGCGTTATTTCAAAACATGCAGGTATTAATCTAAATGTTGAGAGATAAATGCCGTACGTATGTATGCATTCCAATAAGTATTAATTAATTTATTTTTTACTAATTTATCGGTTTGTCTGTTATTTTTGTGCGTTTGGGATTTTTTCACCCCAAAGCGTCTAATATCTGTCAAACCTTTTTTTTTTTTCTGACCGGTGAGGGGTATTTATAATTATTAAATATATTTATACATATTTATATCTATTTATAATTATTATTATTTTTTATTCGCTCAGTTTTGCTCTTCCAAGGTCACGTTACAGCTGAATATTAGCAGATGTATTTATTTTTAGATGTGTGATCCCAGACATATATGCAGGAGTTTTAGTCTTGTAGCTTGTAGGTGAAAATGGTTTATTTTTAGCCTTAAGAATTATTTTTAAATTGTTTAATAGTTCTGCTACTCTTGTTGTAACTTTATTTTAAATAATATATGCATATTAAAAGCAAACTTAGTTAGCTGGACTTTTATTATCTATGCCATATCTTCTGACAAAAATAAAAACAGCCGTTGTCTTTCAATATAATTTAGTGATCATAAACCATTAACTTATATATAACTTTTTTTTTTTTTTCAATTAAGCTAAACCCATGTGTACATAAATCCTCAATGAGGCGCTGATGGTAAATGCATCTGGAGAGCATGAAGTGTGTTTCTTAGTGGCGCCGGCTCGATATCCATCAAGCTTTGCCGTACCACCGCCTCTCAGCCTCCCTCTCCATTTCAGAGCACAGCCGAGAGCAGTGCAGCTTGAAATCCGGAGAACACCAGCCTGATAGAAACAGAAATTACAACGGGAATTAACAAATTATTGGGGCACACAGCATTTGACATAGAGATGATGTACTCAAAGCCAAATGAAGTGAGATTTGTGAAATCAAGCATGTTGAGGCGCGCGCGTCATTAAATGGGAGCTCGTCATAATGGAGGAGATATTCCGCGTGCATACTATGGATCGCTCACGTGCGCAAACTGAACTGTTTGCTCCTCTTTTATGCGCTTACCGAGGAGTTTAGCATCCCACCAACGCATGCAAAGGTGTGCATGTATATTCGTGTTTTGATGTGTGAGATATTGCATCTCAGTGTATGCAATGTAAAGTACGAGAACAAACTCAGGTTTGAAGTGTTATTTTTACTTTTATTCACTAAAATCACTTGGCTTTTCAAGCTTCGTTAATTACCTTTACGATACTAGTAATATTTCGATATCATGTATTAATACTGACATGAGCACCATTTATGCACAGAGAACTGTTATTTTAAAAGTGTATTACTCTCAAGCATTTGCAGGTCGACTGAGATGCACAAAGTCAACTGAGGTAGGTACTTGCCAAAAAAAAAAAAAAAGTCATTAGCTAAGCCTAAAGTTGAGCTGAATACTATTTTGTGATATGATCGACCTACAGAATACCGCCTGCTGTATTGAACGTAAACCTTTTTTTTTTTTTATATTACCCCTCTGTTGAAAAGTCAAATGAATTAACTTAAACCTCTTGGAAGACAACAGAAATTCCCCATCAATAACTTTATTTTAACAAATTATGAGTAAATCTATAAAGTAATTTATATAACGATATACATTTTATTGCTATATTTTTTTAACCACCTGATTTTATTTTTAGAAACCTAAGGTAACCAGTCTTCTATTTTTCTAATTGCAAATGAAATGTTTTACTAATCTTGACGCTCAAATGATGGCGCGTATTTTAGTGGTCGCGACCCTTCAAGCGGCTTGGAAAATGGATGAATGGATATTTCAGTGGTATTGAATGAAAAGAGGTCAACTCAATAACATTAATTCCAAGAAATACAGCAAAACAATTTCATCTCAGTTGAGGTGGTTGTCCCTGGTTTTCTCGGAATCAGCGGTAACACTGTGTAAATCCCACGTGTTCCGACCCTCATGTTTCACACGGGGTTCATGAGATGGATACGGTGGTACAGTAGCTGTCCATGGTTCTGATGCGCTAAGTGGCTTTTTCCACTGCTAACTCGCGGTCCCACTCAGGACTCCTCACAAACCCGTGTTGACATTTCAATGCTTTTTATTCTTTTTACATCCCATTTGTTGCTGTGATTCTGTTCGCATGATGCTGCAATAGATGTTTTCCCTCTGAGAATTTGGAAGTGTGCTCTGCCAAAAAACCTCTGCGACTATGTTGCATGTTGTTTTGTAAGCCAATATTCATCCCTTAGGAATTATCTTGGTAAGTTAAGTTCTGTGCGTAACATCGCGGATTCAACAGCGGAAATGGGAGTGTGTTTACAACGAAAATGCTCTCATATATACAAAGCACATGAAGAGCATTTCAAATGTCTGACCTAGTCGGAATGCAGACATTATTCAAGAGCAGACCGAGTATCTCTTTTGCCTGGGCGTCACCTCATATGCAGCTGAGAATTCCAAAGAAGTCTTAAAGGTGACTGTATCATGATAAAACTACTTTAAAGGGCCACCAACATGTTTAAAGGTTAGGTTACTACAGTATTTACTACCATAGCTCAAAAAAATAAATAATCTAGACTCTAGCTCTCTCTCTCTCTCTCTCTCTCTCTCTTAAAACAAACAAACACACATTATATATATATGTGTGTGTTTGTTTTACTATTAATTACAAAGATTACTTACTGTAATTGACTGCTAAATAGCAGCAGTGAAGAGCCAATGAAGTAACCCGCATTTAAAGTGAACTGTTTACATTGGCAAATTATATACTTAAAGACCACTGGCACTTACCAACAATGAACTGAATTATAATGTTCCCTCCCTTAAGGGCTGCTACGTCAGCCAATTTATATAGACAGACTGTAATGGAAGTTAAAAGTTGTTTTGGCATGTTTTGAGTCAACACTAAGCAAACCCCTGATGACCTCCAGCAACTTTCACTCCGGCTGCCAGTCTGAAAGGTAAAATTCAGAAAATTCTATCCATTATGATACAGTGGGTTGAAAAGAGGAGTATTGCCTCAACCTCCCCCC